TCTAGGTGAGGTCTCACCAAGGAATTGTATAATCTTAGCATTACCTCCCTTGACTTAAACTCCACACACCTGGAGATATACCCCAGACACCTATTGGACACGGCAGCAGCCTGCAGGGTAACTCAGTTGCACCTGCATCTATCATATACAAGTATGGCATGTAACAGAGAATGCTATTACAATGTTTTTGCTGTTGTAATCTGGGTAATCATCAATCCATGTGAGATGGGGGGGGGGGGAAGGCAGTGCAGTCAATTACAGTCTACAAATATTTTCTCTCTTTTCATTATTTGGGAGGTGAGAGGAACAGACTTTCATCAGCCAAGTTTCAGAGACCTTAATTAATGTGCTGATTGCACTGGTCATTGTTATTCAACGCCGCATGTGCTTTGGAATCCAATTTGCAAAAAGAGCGTTTCTTCCATTTCCCACAGCAAGCACAGCCCTGTCTCAGCACACAGCTACCCCGAGTGGTGCCGAGTTGGCGATGCTGTTTTTCTCCGACTTTCTTCTGTCCAACTGCGTGTCTTGTTGCTGTAGCGCCTGAGGTGGTGAAAAACGAACGCTACACCTTTAGTGCAGACTGGTGGTCCCTGGGTTGCCTGATCTTCGAGATGATCGAGGGCCACCCCCCCTTCACGCAGCCTAAGAGGAAGCTCATCCGAGAGGAGATCGAGCAGATGGTGAAGGAAGGGCAGGAAGAATATTCCAGCAAGTTCTCTGAGGATGCCAAGTCACTCTGCAAGATGGTACAACAGCTCATTAATCTCTTCGTCTTTATGCTGTGGAGCCTTATTAGATGACAGACTTTTTTTTCTTTTTCACCTACTTCTAGTTGCTGGCTAAAAATCCCAGTGATCGGCTGGGATGCCAGGGGGGCGGAGCCATAGAGGTTAAGTCCCACTCCCTCTTCAGGATAATCAACTTCACGCGGCTGGAGGCAGGCAGGCTGAAGCCGCCATTTGCACCTCATGTGAGCCTTCTGCAAATATATTTTAAATATTTTATTATATTTTGTTATATTTTTATTATTATTATCATGTTGTAGGGAGGATTTGTTTTCCTCTGTAATATTTAAACGGTTCCGGAATGCTGCTTATGTTGCTGACTATCGCTGCCCATGTCCCTCCATGAAGCCCCTGGCTGTTTACTGCAAGGATGTTCTGGACATTGAACAATTTTCCACAGTCAAGGGAGTGGAATTGGAGCCCAGTGACAGCTCCCTCTACCACAGGTTCTGCACTGGCTGTGTGTCCATCACCTGGCAGAATGAGGTCAGTCCCCTGTGTCTTTGTACCATCAACTCTTCAGCACTAAGCAGTACCTTGGAGAAGCAATGGAGAACCAGTGAAAGACTTACACTGGCGATTCCCTTTCATTTTCTATTTCTGCTTATCCAGTTGTAGTCTGCTTTACACTGAAATTCAATTCCTTAAATGTTTCAACTGACAAACAGAATTCTGGAAATATTTTACTTTCTGCACTGAAATTCCCACAGGGCATATTTTGGGCTATTTATAGAAAGGCACTCATTTAACAGGTGTATTTATAGCTGTAGTTCCTGAACTCTGTTACGCAGATGATCGAAACTGGCTGCTTTGATGAGCTGAATGTGTTTCCCCTGGATGAGGATCCACCCCCAGACCCGGCTGGGGCGAATCACGCATCCCCTAAACCCAATGAGGGGCTACTTTACAGGCTGTTTTGGTGGCAGGTAAATGTAAAGCTCAAAACATCAATATGTTGCAGTTTGTACTTTTTTGGTTCAGATTAAGGCTCTTTTCATTTCATTTGCATTGGCTCAGTATGTCCTCAGGTCTTGTATATAACCGATACGTTTTGCTCTTGTTGCCCCCTACAGGACTGTTGCAGAAACTGCAGTGACAGCGAGGAAGAGCCGACAAGGTTGTGATCTGTTTAGAGCCATCTGTTTTTTATTTATGTGTACATATATACATATACAGACACTGTTTTGTATATTTTTAGCTTTGTTTTGTTTTTGAATTTGAAAATGCTGTACTGTATGTGATTACCTAGATATAACACCTACTTTTAATATGTCTACTGCTTGAAGTTTGTTTAATAGTTTGAGTAAAATGAAAAGATCTAAATTCACTGATTGTAGACATGCTATTTATAGGTAAATGAGACATGCCATGAAATATGGTATTTAAAAACGCAAGTCATGGAATATGGTATTTAAAAACGCAAGTCATGGAATATGGTATTTAAAAACGCAAGTCATGAAATATGGTATTTAAATGTTTGTTCCTCTGTTAAATCCCATTTTAATGATTTGCAGCTTTGGCTTGTTTTGCAGTAGGAACTGTTTGCCTACAGAAACTACAGAAACGTCATAAATCAGGGGATACATTTTGGAGGATTCTGATATTGCAAATTCCGGTCTCTGGAAAAAAAAAATCAGTTTGGAACATAGCTGATTAAGAGATCTTAACAATTTAATACGACAACAAAGTCAAATTATGAATGAAGGTAATTGAGATTAAATTAAAATGGAAGAAAATCAAGAAATGGATGCTCAAACACCATGAGCCCATTGACCTTCTGTAGGTGTGTCCAAGCAGGCAGGTCTGTCCTCTTTTTGTTTCAGCCAGACACCAAGTGCAGTGCATTCATCTTTCAGCCCATAAATTACTCCTTTCCCATCAGGTCGCTGATATATCTCACATTGACTTTGTCCTCAAAATAGCACTATGTCATCTGGAATATCTGGAAGTGTATATTTCCCTATTTTAGGCACCACCAAAGAAATGTTAAATAGTAAGCTTATGGGTGGAACTACTTGAAGCTACCTTTCAATTCGAGTGAAAGAGTCGTCGTGATTACAGGTCCCGTCAATCCTACAGGCGACAGTGATGGCCAAAATGACTCTTCATGAACCATTTACTGTATTTTCTGATTCGACTAGATGGTGGTCTCTGTTCAAAAAAGGGCTCAAAGCATGGCCCAAAGTAAGCCAAGAGCACCATCTAGTGGGGTCAGAAAATACAGCAAACGGTTCATGAAGCATCCTTTTGGCCATTACTAGCAGCCCAGTCGTTAGGGGACCAGTGCTGGTATGATGATAGCTTACAATGGGGATGGCTTTTTGCCAGTACTGCTAAACTGGGATACTTTAGATCAGTGTTTCTCAACCCAGTCCTCAGCGAACCCCAGCCAGTCCACGTTTTTGCTTCCTCTCAGTTCCCAGCGCACCTGTACCAGCTATTCGGTGTTCCTGATTGGCTGGGAGCTGGGAGGGAGCAAAAACGTGGACTGGCTGGGGTTCGCTGAGGACTGGGTTGAGAAACACTGCTTTAGATGCATCAAAAATGATTTATTATAGACACAAGCCTACAGGTGTTTCTGTGTGCATACTTGCATTGCTTTCAAATAGTGATTTTTATTGTGGATTTTAGGATGTAAAATGGAAGAAAACTTAGCTCTGACCTTGTTGCATGCAAAGAAAGCTTGGATCATAAAATAAAGAAGCAGTTTCATATGCTCTGGGAACACTTTTTAAATGTAAGGAATTATTTGCTGAAATCAAGTCATATCGGTTCATGTTGTAATTAATAATCACATGTAAATAGTGGCTCTCTCCTGAATTTTTTCTTTTTCTGATATTATAATGGATTATAGGTATATAGGAAATTAGCTGATTTATTGGAGCTAAATTTAACCTTCCCAAGACAATGACCTGTATCATACAGACAAATTCATGTATGTATGTCATTAATGAATGTAAGTATTTCAGTTGAAAAGCCTGGCAGTTTTTAACATGCATTTGCAAGTTCTTTGTCCAGAGTATTTTATTGGGTAACAGGAGGTATATGTGTGACACATTATTGGAATTGATAATTGACAGCTACTGTAGATCTCAAGAACTGTGAAGTGTCTCTTACTTTAAAAAAACAGGGAAAACAACAGAATTCTGAAAGCAGTGTGGGCATATTTATAGGCACATTGCAAGCAGTGTGCTGTTTATCTATGGCAGTAGTGCTCAGTCGTTTTGTACCTAGCATTAAATCACAATAGAACTAAAAAAAATCTGAAAGGTATTTTTAAAGGTATTGAGGTACTTAATCTGTTGCAGGATGCACTAAATGTACTCAGAAGGTATTTCAAAAGTTGCTGAGTTTCATGTCTCGTGGGGAAAATGGTCAGTTTGTTTACATATGCTTATAGATGTTTTTTGTGATTTGTACAAGAATTAGTAAATATGCAATTTCCATTAAATAGTTTCGAATATCATATGTTCCTCATATTGTGGAGGGCAGGAGTTTAATGTATTTAGCTTTTACCAAACAATGAATTCTTAGTATTAATTGACCTATGGACTCAGGTCACTAAATTCATCAGCAAATTGTTACAGGTGGCTTAATGAGTAACTATATTACAGGGGATTTATGTCCCTGTAGTTTGTCCTCCTGTACCATTTTTTTCTTTAATTTAATAAGTAATGTGAGAAAATTATCAGCAAAATACTGCCATTATTTCCATCCATTCATTATCTTTACCTGTTTGTCCTATTCAGGGTCACAAGGTTTCTGGGCCCTATTCAGGAAGTTAAGGCTGCAATGATAGATAATTATTGCCTTGTGAAAATTAATTTGTCAGTATTTAAATATTAATATTAATGGTTTACAAGCTGCCTGTTAGAAATTTGTCTATTGAATTTTGTCAGCACCAATGTAGTTATGATATAATGATAAATAAAGATATTATCAAATTGTGCGACTGAGGACGTTCCAGCTACTGCACATTGGAATAGAGAAAACATCCCTATAAAGTTTTGCTTTGCATTATGTCTTGTCAAATTATCCACTACATACAACAGTAATATTATAGGCTATGCAAGAACACATTCATGGTATAAAGGTTGAAATACGCAGCAATTTGTCATAAGAGTGCGAATGCATGCTTACTTTATGCACTTTGTTGCTGTTATGACAACAAATTACCAAATATGTTAGCATTCATACTGCAAATGCATACTTGCTTACCAGTTATCCCTGCCAATCCCTGGATTATAGGAATATTGTGTAGTAACTCTGCTTCTGTGGCCAAGTGCAGAATAAACAGTTTAAACTTTACCACCATGACTGCAAATAAAGCTTTCAGTAAATGGTTTTTGTTCAGAAAAAACAGCTTGTCACTGTGATTGCATTTAGCTTCAGTCTGATGACATTCTAGTGTTTTCTCTGTTACATCTATGACGAGTCAGTCTGTAAATTTTATTTATTTTTCTAGACATTTTTCAAAATACATTTTTTTTTCTCTCGCTGCCACCTCTTACGGCCTGTTTTTTTTTTTTGTAACCATCTGTGGGTTCTGATTGTTTCTTTATGAACATTTAGTGTTACATATTTATATTTCAAAGGTAACATTTTAACAGCTACTTTATTACACCTGGTGCACCATAAAGGTGATACTTTATCGAACGACTTCTATAAAGATGAGAAGCAGATTTTGGCTTGTAATAGCTATTTACGTTTGCTGATGCTGATCACAGGTCTGTAGCAAAAAAGCACCATAACCGAAATAACTGTGCTAAGGATGGCTTGTTTATTTTAGGAAAGTTTGTATTGTTATGGGTGTTTTTTCTCTGAAATGTAAACCAGATGATAAGCCATAAAAACTTAATGTCTATATTGAGTCTCTTTGTCTTTAGAATATACACAGAGGAGGGAAAAACCACAATCTGCCGACAAGGTGTTGGGCGACTGTGACGTGAACGGAGGCTATCCTGTCTGGTATGAACCAGCAGAACGGCTACTGTGGCACAAATGGCAGATCATTTTAGCAATGGTTACGGGAGTACTATGTCATGATGCACATGACATCAAACCTTGCTGCCTAGCTGCGGACTGTATTTGTTGGTCCAGTGCATCCCACAGATTCTCGATACCCAGCTGTCTACATGATGCGACAGAAAACATGATTCACTGGCCCAGGCGACATTTTTACGTTGCTTCAGTTCCGATGCCTGTGTGCCCACTGTACGCGCTTTCGGTGGTACCCATGGGTCAGTATGGGCGCTGTGAGTGGCCTGAGGTCACACAGTAGGGCTCAATGCACACTATGTTGTGACAGTACTTTTATGACCTTTATTAAAATGGCATGCAATTTGAGCCACGGTAGCCTTTCGGTTGATGCACACTAGACGGGATAGTCTTCATTCACACGCCACATGGACAAGTCTTGGGCGCCCAACACCCTGTCAGAAGATCGTGGATATTCCCTCCTCTGAACCCGATCAGTAGGTACACACCATGGCCAAATGTGAGCACCTCACAAGCCTTGCCATTTTGGAGATGCTCTGATGTAGACATTCAACATGTTGACTTTAAGCACTGAATGTCAGCTTACCATCAAATATATCCCAGACCTTGACAGGCACCATTTTTATGAGGTTGTTCATATTATTCACTTCATATGGAGGTGGTAATGATGTTCTGGCTCATCGGTGTTTAGCGATATTTTTTCCTGGACTTGGACCTCTGCTTTGGCAAGGAAAACAAAAATGTTCTGTAACCTGCTGTGTAATAATCCTTACTGTTAAAGCAGAGGTCAACAGCTTGATAACAAATAATAATTGTCATGAGCTCATAAACCAGCTTTTAATGTTTTGTTTGCGCAAATTGTTTGAAAACAAAAAGTGCCTGCAGTCTTAACTCTAAACATCTTGAATTGGTAAAATAGTAATGTTCTGCAATGTAGTCCAAAATCAAAATAAATATGAAGTATTAATATGGCAGCAATATATGTATTCATCCAGTGTAGGACTACCTCTACAAAGCTTAAATCTTAAAAATCTAAGAAAGATCTCCATCCTTTTCATTTCCCCTTGAATTTCATCCTTTCCCCCCAAACTTATGACTTCAGTTATAGCACCAACTGCATTCCACATCTACTGCTGAAATTCAGTGTCTTGTGCGTGTCTCCTGCATGACAGCACAGCAAACCCATTATACATGAGCATTATACGGTAACAGCAGACGGCAGCCATGCCAACCGCTTCCACAATGTTCCCCATGAGGGCTGTGTGTTCAAAACCTCTGCTGCCACACACACCTAGACTGTCTGCACTCGCAGTCTCTGTCACTAGGCAACATTAAAAAAAGATGAAGAAACTAAGCATAAAAAGTAACATATATATATATATATTTTTCTTTTTTTCATTCTTTTTTTTGGGGGGGGGGGGGGGGGGCTGGAACATACACTCACCTAAAGGATTATTAGGAACACCATACTAATATGGTGTTTGACCCCCTTTTGCCTTCAGAACTGCCTTAATTCTATGTGGCATTGATTCAACAAGGTGCTGAAAGCATTCTTTAGAAATGTTGGCCCATATTGATAGGATAGCATCTTGCAGTTGATGGAGATTTGTGGGATGCACATCCAGGGCACGAAGCTCCCGTTCCACCACATCCCGAAGATGCTCTATTGGGTTGAGATCTGGTGACTGTTGGGGCCATTGTAGTACAGTGAACTCATTGTCATGTTCAAGAAACCAATTTGAAATGATTCGAGCTTTGTGACATGGTGCATTATCCTGCTGGAAGTAGCCATCAGAGGATGGGTACATGGTGGTCATAAAGGGATGGACATGGTCAGAAACAATGCTCAGGTAGGCCGTGGCATTTAAACGATGCCCAATTGGCACTAAGGGGCCTAAAGTGTGCCAAGAAAACATCCCCCACACCATTACACCACCAGCAGCAGCCTGCACAGTGGTAACAAGGCATGATGGATCCATGTTCTCATTCTGTTTACGCCAAATTCTGACATCCATTTGAATGTTTCAACAGAAATCGAGACTCATCAGACCAGGCAACATTTTTCCAGTCTTCAACTGTCCAATTTTGGTGAGCTCGTGCAAATTGTAGCCTCTTTTTCCTATTTGTAGTGGAGATGAGTGGTACCCAGTGGGGTCTTCTGCTGTTGTAGCCCATCCGCCTCAAGGTTGTGCGTGTTGTGGCTTCACAAATGCTTTGCTGCATACCTCGGTTGTAACGAGTGGTTATTTCAGCCAAAGTTGCTCTTCTATCAGCTTGAATCAGTCGGACCATTCTCCTCTGACCTCTAGCATCAACAAGGCATTTTCGCCACAGGACTGCCGCATACTGGATGTTTTTCCCTTTGCACACCATTTTTTGTAAACCCTAGAAATGGTTGTGCGTGAAAATCCCAGTAACTGAGCAGATTGTGAAATACTCAGACCGGCCCGTCTGGCACCAACAACCATGCCACGCTCAAAATTGCTTAAATCACCTTTCTTTCCCATTCTGACATTCAGTTTGGAGTTCAGGAGATTGTCTTGACCAGGACCACACCCCTAAATGCATTGAAGCAACTGCCATGTGATTGGTTGATTAGATAATTGCATTAACGAGAAATTGAACAGGTGTTCCTAATAATCCTTTAGGTGAGTGTACTTTGTTGAGGAAATACAACAATGTCCTGAATTTCTATTTTTGTTTTCAGACATAGACATTTCAGTTAATGTCACCTAGGCAACGGATAGCTGCTGACAACATTATCTATAAAAACTACATTTGTGGTTCAATGCTACATATCAGCACTTTGAAGCCAGCTGCTACATTGTATGATAGATAGTAACTTCTTAGATGTGTTTTTTCACACTGTTATTTTGTTTATATGAGTTTGTCACAGAACTTCTTGCCAAGACCCTAAATAAGGCAAAGCTTTTGTGTATTACTACCAGCTTTGTTTTGTATTTCAAAGTAATCTTTACTTTGAATTCTTTTTAGTTGTGGTCTGTTTATTATTGGTGATTATTGATTATCGGTCATTTTGAGTTGGAAATTCAGCTGAAATCCCAACATCTTATGGCTTTTATGGGCAAACCTTATCGTCATATTTAGCATAATCCATGTTATATTTGAAATTGCCTGCAAACCCCAGCCTAGCCTGACGGTAAAGTAAGATGCCAATATGACTGCTGCAGCAGGGTCTCTTAGAGTCACACCCTCCCTGAACATACGCCAATACTGCAACAGCATAATCAAGTGCAAAGACTCCGGCGTCTGCATTTTCCTGATCTGGTGCACTGCATGCAATAGGCAAGCCACATACACTGCATGCTATAGGAAAGCCACATGCACTGCATGCTATAGGCAAGCCACATGCACTGCATGCTATAGGCAAGCCACATACATTGCATACTATAGGCAAGCCACATGCACTGCATGCTATATGCAAGCCACATACACTGCATGCTATAGGCAAGCCACATACACTGCATGGCCTTGGGCTATGGGACAAAACCACAGGAACCCGTGCAAACATGGGGAGAACATGGGGGAAGAAGTGCTGGTATTGTCAGTAGGGAAGCCCATCCTGTGGCCCCAGTGCAGTGATGGGAACACTGTGCTGCAAAATTGGCGCCATCCGGTGGATGATACATAAAAAGCTGAGGTCCTGACTCTCTGAGGTCATAAAAGATCCCTGGGCATCTTATGAAAGAGTCGAGCGAAAGAGGTGGTACCCTGATGCCCTGGCTAAATTGCCCACTATGGCCCTTTCCGATCTGGGCTCCTAATCATCCTGTTTATCTAACTGGTGAATCCTCTCCTGCCCCGTCACCACCTTAGGTACTGTGTGGTGAGCGTACTGGTGCAGAATAGCTGCCGTCACATCATCCAGGTGGGGGCTGCACAGTGGGGGTGGATGAAGTGGCTCCCTGTTGGTTCTGCAAAATGCTTTGGGTGTCATGAGAATAGCACTATATAAATGTAACATTCATTCATTTGGCATACAAACTCCAGCCAGGACAGGAGTGAAGCACACTTCCTGTGGGTGTCAGTGCATGTACATAAAAGGCACGTCCTCTTCTCTCTGTTTTTTCTTTATGGAATACTTGAAACCCTAACTTATGACCATCTGATGTTTCTGGCCTTTTTTGTATCATTCATTGATTTTTTTTTATAGTTTTTTTTTTTTACAGTTCATGATTACACATCCATCTCCACATCAATGTGTCCGCACTCTGTCCACACACAGACACCCTGTCAACTTGCCAGTCACTCAGAGAATCACACGCCTACATTCCTCTCAAGTCAGCTGTCCAGTGCCTTGGTTTAATTTCCTAATTTCAAAAGTCAATTGTTGTAAAAGTTTCTTGTAATAAATATTTCAGCTAACTGGCAACAACTATTCAGTAGCTATCAAACATGACTATTAAGGTTATTATACAATATTATAGATAAAATAATAGTTTTTTCCCACTATCTACTTAATGGTCAGGTGGTAATATTTTGTAATCCCAAATCTGCTGTCTTAAAGAGCAGTTACTGGCAAAAAAAGACTTTTGATAGATTTCTTTATAATATTGGAAGCGTAGAAATATATTTTATAAACTTGGTTCAGTAGATGACTGTGGGAAAACAAATGATCACATTATGAAAAGTTTACTTCAAGAATAACTTTTCATGTAATGCCCACCTTTTCTGTTTAAACCAACATACTGTTCCATTAGGGGAACCTGCAAATATCTTCTGTCAACAGTTTCCAATTTGGTTCTGAATAAATGTGTCTCCTAAGCAACACTGTGGTCATACCAGCTCTTAGGGCATTTAACGGTGAGTTCCTTTTGCGTAAACGATTCATCTAATTTAGTTTTTGAAGGAACCTGGTTCGATTTCCAGACAATAATTATCGCTCAGAAGCCAGACGCGAAGAGAGTTTTGCTGAGGAAATATAACCTCAAAGCTAAAATATCATTTAGACAGACATGGGAATCAGGGATCAGATAAGGAGAAAAAAAACTTGGGGAACAAGTGCGATTTTACGACATAATACTGGGGACAGACAAGATGGCTAAAGTTAATCTCTCGGGGTTCTGAAAAGATTAGAGACTAATAAGCTTTCAGAAATCACAGTGGCTGGCGGGGGCTGGTGTGGGGGCGGCAAAGGATCTCAATAAACACATTAAACAGCAACCTTCAGCAAGACCCAAGGACAACAGCGGTACCCCTGCTGCCGCAGATTAAGCCGTTTGCCCTCTTTTAAAGGGACACGTACTCTTCACCTTGCAGCACATTGTGTTTTACTATAATTTCCTCTACATTCCCATGGTGTCGAGGTTACTTTGCTTAATACCATGAGATAAGTGCTTATACAAAACATTAGCCAAATCTGTTTTTCCTGAATTGCGGGGAAACGTCGAGAAAGCAAAAGAAAACTCATGCGGACTTCTGCGGCATTCTGAAATTTTATTAACATACGAAGGTGACAAAATCTGTTTAAATGTTACATGAATATTTTCATGCCTTAATTTCAATTTAACAACCGAATGTGACAAAATCTGTTAAAATGTTACATGAATATTTATGGTTCCTTAGTTTTAATTTTGAAAGATTTATTTTTCTTTTTACTTTCGAATTAAGGTAAACTTAAGATTTAAAGAAACATAAAACGCAAGTAATTCCTTTTTAGTTGTGTCATTGGTATGTCAGTAAAATAACTTTCAAGCTGTTTTACATGATACTGAAGGAATACCTAATACTGTTGTAAACTCCATGCATTTTAAAATCCTTCTTCATGATGCAGACAGTCTAATTAGTATTTTACTAAGCTGTATGTCAGAAAGACGTATTTCAGATTGATTTTTACAGCATGCAATAAATGGTTAAGAAGGGAGGAGCCCAGCTATTGAGAAGGTAATTAATCATATTCTTTTCACTTCTACCGTACGCGAGACATATCGGGTACAGATGAGCGCAGACACGTCCAGGAGCTGCTGAGAGAAGGTGCGAAGGGTACAGCGCCGGGTACCTCGAAGGGTACAGCGCCGGGAACCTCGCAGGGTACAGCGGGTTGGGTGGTAACCGCGAGGAGCCGAAGCTCCGCTTAACTGATACGTCGCTCCCAAGATGCTTCTGTCTTCCTCACCAAAGGAGATGCCAGGAGACACTGACATCCTTGGGCTGACCCGGGCAGGTAAACAGAGCATCACAGAAAAAGGCAGCGGAGGGAAGAAGCGCCTTTACAGGATGGATGAATGAAAAGGTTTTTGGTGATTTCACGTAGATTCCGAAACACGGTAGATTGCAAAACAATACGATCCTTAACAATTGGAGCTGTATAAAAACCGTAGGGAGTTCTGCATGCATTAAACCATGAATTCATATATGCTTGGTGTAATATTGCCTAATAATGTTCACGGGCATCGTTATACAGTTTTTCACCAAAGTAAATGAAGCCGATGGTGTTGCGTGCTGAATTCAATGGATGTTAATTGTCTTAATCGTCCCTAAAATAGTCATATGCAGTTAATGAGTTATTGCGCAAGAAATCATGCTGTTGTTAGATGTAATATCGCTAAAACGTATGATTGTCCGTATTCTGTTTTCTGACGTTATAGCATTGAATATAGTGAATCATTTTTTTCCTTTTTGTGTTTCATTTTCTTTCTTCGCTAAGCAGTTTCCCCAGACTGCAAGAGAGAGTACAATACCTGATATCGATGTTATAATTCGAGGCAATCTACAGGTTACCTGCGTACCAGATAAACGCATTCCTCTAAAATCTAACACATTCAAAATTATGTAATTTTTTTTTGAGCGCCTGAAAGCATCTTGATTGGTTGGCATTCAGATGAGTATTTACATAATTTCACTAATTACTAATTCACTAAGGACAGCTGTAATTCGTGCTGCAGGTGCCAGCTTGGCATGTTTCCATGGAGTGAGAGCTTGCGTACCCATTTCACATCTCTGTCTCCTCAGCCAGACGAGAGACCGTAAGTAAAGGCAGAGCAAAGGGGAGCAGTACATAATTTTAGTGTTACGTCGTAAACCAGTTATTTCAGCTCTTCCGTGTGTTGCACACTTTACGAAAGGTACCATTTTTGGCTGTTGTGTTACTTTATATGATTATCAGAGACTGTCCAGACGCAGCCTGAAAGTACCGGTCAGTGTAGAATATGTTTCTATGCACTTAATTATTGTTCCATATGGTTTTATATTTTGGCAGATTTACTCTACATAGAACGATTGGATTATTTTATGCAATATTTTATATACATTTTGAATAATTAATATCTGCTTCTTTTGAATATTCCGTTTTCCATACACCTACTTAGTACTTAAAAGCTGATCAAGTTATTGGGGGATTTCATGTGACTGGTGAAGTACTGATGGACGGGGCATCGGATTAATAAGTGCATTGCATTTTAAAACTAAACCTGAGATTGGATGAAGGAAAAGTATAAAAAAGTAAAGTATTAAATACTGATATACTTGCAAGTCAAACATCTGTTGACAAAGGAAGCATTCGAAAATTTCGTATCAGGACGTTCTAAATTACTTTTGTTGAAGTATAAGACCCCAGAGAGATCTGTCTATTGAGATATTTCTTTGAAGTGTCTCAGCCTATTTTTATACTGGAAAAAAACCTTGTGTATCGATATTACTGTTTTCTTAGGTATGCACATGTGACCGGTCTGCGGAAGGTAATGGCGTTGTTCTTTAGTGATTAGTTGAAGTATGCCTTTCCGGCACTGTGTGTGCCACAGTATGTTGACTTTGGACTTCAAACATTCACTACTGGATTAATAAATATGTAGGCCTATTGCTTAAAATGCATTGCTTAAAAATAAAAACATAATTTTGTGAAGATGATGTTGAACCTTATAGTTAACGATGGACAAAAAGCATGAACACCTTTTAATTTAAAATAAGCTTCATGTGAAAAAACAATGAAGCAGGTTGACGTAGCACGGGGGCATTAAATGTGTGTACGGATGTTTGTGGTACATTTTAACATAAATACGGTTTTTAAAGAATGGGTGCAAAGCATTTAAGCAAAGTCTATAAAGAAAAGAATATGTTTAATGACCTGTATGTTATAACTAAATGATCTGATTTTAAAAGTCATTATCTTTTTGATGAGCAAAAGTCAATTTAGAATATTAATGAGTCCAGTATTAATATCAACAGACAACTGTATACATTTCTTAAATCAACTCTCTCAGTAAAAAATGCATGTTGGATTGAAATACTTATTAATGAAAAAACATTGCGACACTGCCAATACCAACTGCTGTTTGGCGATAGCAAAACGTAGCACTGAGAGTTACGGCGAAGTAGAAACAATGAATTTGAAAGATTTTCACAAACAGAAACACGTCTGGGAATCATTGAATAGGCCGCATAAGTATTACATTCGCAGTCATGTTTGCTTTTTGTTTGGCACTTTTGTTCAAAGCAAAGTATGGGTGAGACTGGAAGTATGTAGAAACATTGAGAAGGGGTGCCTACCCAATTTCTTTATTACTGGACACAGGTTTGGAATTTCAAAATGGGAAAGGTAACTGATGAAAAAGTGTTTGTTCGTTTTTCCAGAACGAACATCACAGTAATATTAAGATATGGGACCAAAGCTTATTGTATCAGTGGATGGCAAGTGTGATGGAGGGTATTATAATGTGGAGGGTATTTTAAAGGGCAGAGTCTCTCAGTCTGTCTGTCAGGACTGAAGGATGAAACCATGGTGTCAGTTAAGTGTGAAATTAGCTGCAGAATCACCAGCCATAGAATTTAGCCGCTTAAGACATGAATGACCCAAATTGTTTTACCAGAGACGGACAGACGGACCGACAGACAGAACTACACAGCCTGCTATATCTTTGTTGTGTATATCATGGAAGTTTAAATGACCAGAATCAGGATGTGGAAGCAGAATGTCACGAAACAAAGGGAACTGTTCATAAGAAGCGGTATTATTCCGTCTTTCAATATTTGTAACTGCAGGACAAAAGTGTCAGTTACTATCAATGCAATTTATTTACCTTGTGCAATTAAAACTTGCAGCAATGAAAGAGCAGGAAGGGAAGAAGATTTTAAATCTACAGACAGTTAAGTGGATGACGAATAATTCAAAGGCCTGGAGTCCTATCTAGCTTTTCTTTGTTTTATTATTATTTAGTGTGTGTTTCTGTACATAAAGTTGAATATATAAAATTATATAGAAACGGATGTGTGAGTCTGTGGATTAGGGCTCTGCTTGTGATTGGCGGTTCGGTTTCCTGGGTTGCAGAGTGATGTCACCATTGGACCCTTGAGCACAGTCGTTAACCCTTCGTGTCTAGTAAGTAAATAAATGGGCGTTATGGTCACTCAGGTGGCGTTGGCATCTGGGGGGGGGGGGATTGAGTCCCGCCCTTGTTCTCCCCATCTTTGGGCGGGTTTCCTCTCACAGCCCAGTACATGTCATCCTATAGACTGCACAATTTCAGCAATCCTGAAATGTTTATTGCAAGCTACAGTGTGCAACACGGGTCTAATAAACTTGTCAACGACATCAAGTTTGATGTATGTAAACTGTACAGCTGCACAGCTTCTGAATCGTACACTACAATGCAAGTCAATGTACAAGAATTAAAGGGCATCAGTGTCGGTCGGTTAGTAGACATTGGCTGCAGTAGCAGTCACATACAATTTGTCCTATAGCCTGTCCTTGGTCAAAAGACTTTGACAAAGAGAACCTCTCTCACACTGCGATGTAGGACCACCATTTCAGCAGGTATGCCTTACCTTGTAGGGACACAATGTCCCCACAAAGTGATGAATACCCGTTTTTTTCCATTATGGGGACCAATTTCCTGGTCCCCATAAGGCAGGGGTGCCCAATCTTATCCGCAAAGGGCCGGTGTGTATGCGGGTTTTTGGGATAACCTGTAGGGCAGCTGTTCAAACCCAGGTGTGTGGACTCTTCAGCCAATCAGTCCTCTAATTAGTCATCTAATTAGGGAGTTGCAGCGAAAACCCGCATACAACAACTGCCATAAGGGAAAACTCAATTTAATAAAGATCTGTGACTGTCTTGTATTTTGCTTGGTTACTTATGGTTATGGTTAGGGCTGGGTAGGGGTTAAGGTTGTCATAGTTAGCGTTAGCATTTTTCCCATAGAAATGAATGAGCGGTCCCCATAAAGATATGTTTACCCAACATATGTGTGTGTGTGTGTGTGTGTGTGTGTGTATTAGGTTTATATGAAATTGTTGGGACTAAATGTAATATAAAACTCATTACCTTTGTAGCCTAGGATAAGCCCTGGGATATATATTCGAAAGCATCAGGTATAATCTTATCAAAATTACCTTTTTAAAACAGTCTAAAAGTATCCAGGTACAACACATTATTAAAACAATTATGGTGAATCAGAGTCAGTCAACAGGATATTGGATGAACAAATATTCGCGTTGTACTGTAATAACAATGAAAAACCAGCTTAACAAACACATTCGTTGAAATTAAGATATATATTATATATATAGATATGCTAATTATTAGACACAAATTTATTCTCTAGCAAATACATATTATAAGGAGACTTGGCAGAAATGAAAGAAATTACCCCAAAGGAATGGTGAATTCTGGCACAATAGCATTCCGTGTTCTGTAGAAGGTTTGTTTCATGCAGCACGGCCTTTCGCCATTGTATACTCCAGACTATTACAGGTACTGAAACATCTGTTATCACTGAGAAGATATATTAGGGATTTACCCCTTATCCTTTATAAGGAACTAGTTATTAACCATATATATTACTTTATTGAAAACAGAATTTATATATTTTTTCTTGTAAAGAGTTTATACTGTAGTTCATTTGATACATATTATTTCTTTTATATTTTATTTAATTCTCTTTAACTGCTGTTGGTGATACTTTTCCTTCCTGCTGTATTGTGTTCATCGTGTCCAATGGTGTCTGTCTGTGCAGCTGTAGCATAAGCAATTTCCCTATGGGATTAATAAAGTTTTTTTCTGATTCTGATTCTGATCCTGATTCTGATTCTGATCCTGGGTATTACTATGTCAGAATGAAACACTGAAATGTTGGGACCGTTTCATAATTTGAGGACCGATCGGCTCAACGAAAATATGCATCAGCAGATGTCCAACGTAGAGTGAGCGAAACATGACGCCAACAAAACACATGGTGATCGTCGCTCTCAGGAGGAACCGGGAGCAGTAGGACTTTCACTTTGATGTGTGAAACTGATACATACCCCCCCATCCCCGCCCCCCCCCCCCCAATGTTGCTTGAACAGCTGAGATAGATTATTTCAAAACAGTATTTTGAAAACATTGCCTGTATATGAGGTATATAATCCTACTCTCCATCTTTTCCATCAAACAGGGTGAGGACTGGTTCCCTTCAGATATAACCAAGCTACAGACTGGAATAGACCCAATGGGGAAGACAGGCATGCTTTGGACGTCACGTGGAGTATGGTTCTGTCACAACATGGACTAAGGAGACAGGCCCCACTCTTTCACCAGCTGATGTGATGACTGCTCACAGCACACATTTAAAGAGAAGCATTGTTTATTCAAAAATGATCCAGTCAAACATGTTTTTGGGCTGGAAACAGACATGGTACATTTGACAAGAGGAATGTAGAGAAAACCGTTTCCCCCTCGAAGACACAGAGCCAGTCCTTGAAAAATTTAGGCTGCACAGGCAGGAATACAGTTCAGTATGAGGATTTTTGCATCAGAAAATTTTGCAAGCTAGTCTTTGCGAAGAGGTGAAGTCCTCTGGTGCGACAGCTTTCCAACGGCGTGGAGAGCTCCGCGCCCAGAAGCATGGTGATGTCACAGAGCACCTACACCTTCCTGACGTGCTTCGCTGGCTTCTGGGTGGTGTGGGCCTTCATCGTCATGCTCTGCTGCTTCTGCAGCTTCTTGCAGCGTAAGCTGAAGAGGCGGCGGGACGCCCGGCCGCCCGAGCAGAGCCTCCACAGCCTGGAAATGGACGCCCTGCAGGACCGTAGCTGCCCACCAGGGGAGCCCGTGCACCTGGGCCCACCGCAGACTCTGTGCCCGTCGCTGCAGTCTCTCCATGCCATTCCGCAGGGCAGCTGGCCGACTTCACAAGGTACCACCCCTGCCATTTCCATGATGTATTTCTTCAGGTCTTTCTAGGTCAATTATGATAAGATGCTTTTATTATATGTAAAGGAAACAGTTTAGCTGTGGTGTGTTAGACTGGAGGAGAACAGGAAGTCACTGCAACCCCATACTGAATAAAAGGTTATGGGAGATAGGTGAGAGTTAGGTGTTATGGAGAATTAAAAACCAGACATAAAAATGGACTAGCTATACAGTAGGTTCAGTACGTGAACAAACTACAGCTTTATGGTACAGCGTGAGGAAAGTGAACTGGACAAACACTGGCCCACGTGCAAAGTGCAACTGTATTTGATTTTATTTTTCCCTTCAAATTACAACAAATGTGACAGAAAAAGTGCAATTTCCTCAGGTCAGGACAACTTCAGGTCTTGAATAAAATAATCTAAAATACACATGCAACGTTTTGTAATTGCAAACCATTGAATTAAGACCTGTTGCAGTTTTTTTCTGCAGTGTAACTGATTACATAGAACAGAGAAAAGAAGACTATGGTCGCTTAGATTTCTGGCTTGCTCAACATTTGCATACTAGTTACACGCCTAGTTTATGTTGTTCCGTGAACACTGGCTTGCTTTGGTCTCCTGCAGACATAATCATCAATGTTCCCTCTCGCCAGAATGTTAATCTCAACAGTGTTTTCACAATAAAAGTTTGGAGATTGAAACGCCCGTGTCTTTGCTTTGACTATGAAGTCTTGATTCTCTGTCCTGCACATCACAGTCTGATGATTCATTTTGGTTTGTGTCATGCATGATCTGCTCTGGGTTCTTGACCCGATTCTTGATCATTTGTTACCTTGTTTCAGTTCCACCTGGAAAATCACTTTGATTGCAGGATCGGTGTTTTTGGCTCTGACGTTCTGATATTACATCTGTAGTCATTTTTTTTTCTGTTGACTCATGACAATGAAATACAGTAAACTCTAAATCACTAAATTCTCGACCGCCTTTAGCGCACTGTGTTTTGAGAGTTCTTGTTTATGGGGGTCTCTGTAACAGTGCTGTTTGCATCCTTTAAACTCTTCAGCAACAGGAGAGCATTAGGTCCTTTTTTGGATGCATTCAGGAGTACAGTAAACAAATGCTCTCCCTGTCACCGGGGTGCCTGAGGCAGTGACCCAGGCTGTCGCGGTCACCGCTTTCCGATGCAGTCTCCACAACCTGTAACAGCAATGTCAGAGGATTCATAAAAAGTGACCTTCTTATTGATTAATCTTCAGTGTTTCAATATGCTGCTTCACTGGCGTAATAAAGCCTCGTTCCATGGCCTCTGGCATTCAGTGGCACTTACGGCTGCCTTATGAATCTGTGTGCAGTTCTGACGTGAAATGCTGTCCTTTCATTTACTATGCCACTATTTGCATACTTACTGTATATTCTGTTCACATTTGCGCAATATCCTCTCCATCTATTTATATAGGGCTATTCTTCAGAAACTATATTTTATTCGCATAGCTACTTGAACACCTTGACATATATACGTCAGACCTTATTCCACATACATCAGGAATCTCATTTTAATGACCTCGTTGATCACTTCCTGTCTAGTATCCTTGCTTCTTCCTCTCTGTTGACCATGAGCTCCTCTTACAGAAGCTGATGTTTTTGGGAAACCACCTTCCTACGAGGATGCGGTTCTGATGGAGGACCCGCCACCTGCCTATAGTGAGGTTCTAGCTGACATTAGAGGGGGAACCTACACCAAACCTGATGCAAGGACATCCAGGGAGCCGCAGGACTCCGAAAAGAGCAAGATGCGCCCTGACGTGGCTCTCTCTGCCCGCGCCTACTCCTCCCTCATCCACCTCCCCGCAGCTGATCACTGGGATTCCTTGGGTTGCTTCTTATCCACTATGGATATGAACCGTAACAACCTCCCTCTGCCTGCCTCCGAGCCCTCTGTCAGGGACCCGCCTCCGCTCCGCGGGACCTTCTCTGGTGGACAGGTTCCAGACCGGCCTTTACCGGACCAGACCTGTGACCTGCCGACCGCGATCCTCGTGTTCGGCAGGAGTACAGCTGTGTAAGCCAGAATCTGTGCCAGAACAAGCCTCCGTCACACAGACTGTGAGAGAAGTAAAGAATTTCCTCCTTTCATGCTGCTGTGAAGTGAATGGGCCTCGTGGAGTAACCGCCAGCTTTGTGCAGTGACGCAGAATACCCCAGTGAGGTGTATGCACACACTGTAGCTGTTCAGAACTGATAAACCCTGCATCTAGTGTCCTGTGATAGGTTAAAAAAGAAAAGAAAAAATAACATTCTACTTGAAAAGTACTTTAGTCTGACGTGCTTGCACACTAACATGCAGGAGCATTTTAATTTTTTTTGTTTTTGCATATTTCACCCCGCTAGCCGAATGCCTCTGCGCAGTGAGCAGTATATGCTTGATGTATCGGGTTAGAGCGGACGCAGCCAAGTAATACACATTCACTGATAGCAGCTGATTCACAGAGGATATACATTTAGTGACAGTCCTTTTTTAAATTTACAATTTCTGTAAATAAAACAAGAACTACTGTGATTCTCTAGTCTTAATGCACAGCCTTTATTAAACTTATTTTATTAAACATCCACTGGCTGTTTCCAAAACTGCCAAGGAAAAAAAAAACAATTTACTATTTTATTGTATTTGCGTGTCCTTTGTCATGTGGACATCTGTTGAGCTTTTTAATTCTTTAGTCCAGTCTGGCCTAAAATCCAGTTATGAACACTCTTTCTATATGTATTTTGTGTGATGCAGCTATGCCTGTAGGCACTGCATTTACTTTTCATTAACTTAGCAGACACTTTCATTCAAAGCAACATGCAATTGAGAACAAAGGATCACACAATCCCTGGAGGGAGTGGAGTTTTTCAGCCTCACTTAGGAGCCCAACAGTGACGTCACTCTGCCAAACCTGGGATTTGAATCAGTGACCTTCTGATCACAACATCGTGACCCGCTGAGCCACACACTACACTACACCTTCTTTAAATAAAGCCATTTTATTGGTGCCCATGGGAGAACTCTCTTTTAGCCAACCCCCTCTTGCTCTCCATGACACACAGACACATATGTAGGTGAGAGTAAGCCTGGCAGTGAAGGGCAGCCACCTGCAGCGGCGCCCATGGAGCTGGGGGTTAAGGGCCTTGCTCAAGGGCCCACGGACATGTGACTGTTCTGCCAAGGCGGGGCTCAAGCCAACAACCTTCTGATCACAGACACAGAGGCCCAGCCCACTAAACCACACTCTGCCCCATTACCGGAGTTAATTTAATTGGATGTACAACTTAACTTGGGTTTTGGGTTGGCCACCTTTATTCTCATTTTAAGATTATACATTGTATCCCAAATGTATGAATGCCTGCTGATTGCTCCACCAGGCAGTACTGCCTCCTAGTGGTGACTGGCCATCATGTCAGGGGAAAAGCGTTCAAGAGAACTGAATGAGGTTAGCAGATGCTTCATAAAGAATAACCTTTGGGAATGAAATCTTACCCTGGCAGAACCCCTTAATGTGGGGGGGACACACTGGCATAAAACTAATATTTTATGTTAATTGTGGGGGGGTCCAAACGAATAATTAAATGGCGGCGATGCCCATGCCCTTAACGTTGTGGGATTAGATTAAACCTTTGAAGTGTGTTCCAGGATCTGAAGCATTTTGCAGTGCTCTCACACTGGACCCACACTGGGATGTAACTGGAACCAGGAGCATTAACATGTATCTGACTTTTATTACGTTTTTCTATGTCTATGAAAATGGAATATTTTCCTAAAGTCACCCAATGGAGCATAAACCTCGACCAAACACTTGAACGCATAAAAAACATGCAACTTCTCACGTGCTGGAGAATGAACCAGCAGAAGTGACAATGTTTTGCATACCAAAGCCACCAAATGTGATGCTAATATTATAGCACAGCATTTTTCCTTCAGCACTGATTGAACTTATTCACAGTGTTCAACAGAAAACGTGATGTTGCTTGGGCATTTTTAAATGTTCCCCCTGTATAGAAAACAAGAATGTCGTGAACTTACGTGTCTATCGTAATGTGTATTTGAACAATCTGAAAACTTGGAATTTTCCTGCTCACCAAAATATTGTCCTCTGCTTATATTTTGAAGGTATCTTGTTTTTTAACAGTAATCTGCGATAGTAATGTATTATTAATTAATACAGTTAAAAACCAAATGATATATGATGGAACACTGGGCAAAGAGGCTTATTTAAGTGTACTTGAAAAACCCCAAGATAACAGCAGCTGTGTGGACATTGCAATTTAAAGGAGACTTTGTCGGTAGATATGAGCCCTGCAATAGCCCACGCTGTTTGGAGGGCCTGCCCCTTTAAGACACATGCCGAGCGTCAGCCTGGAGCGACTTGTTTTGTCACACTTTTTCCTCATGAAAACTAGACCACTGGTGGCAGAACCTCTAAATCATCATTAATGTACCCTTCTTAACATTTAATTTGAAGTTTTTGAAAAGTCTTTCAGGAGAATATTACACTATTTGTTACATATCTTGGTTTAATATAGGTAGACCTTGTCAGCAAATAATTGTCTTTGACCCATTAATTTTACTAGGTTTGCTGGAGGGTGACAAAGGTTTTGGAAGCTCACATTCTGCACAATTCCCTTAGGCATCACAACAGAAACCCAAAAGATCCATATTTAAACTGACAGAGGCCTACCACAACGCAGCTGGGAATCTGCAAACACTGAGCACATACACGGATAGAAAACCTGGCCTCTAACCCAGCTTAACACTGTGATGAAACGGGGGTCTGCTCGCCCCCCCAAGTCGGGCACTAGAAGGAAGTTCTGCAAAGTACTGTAGTTTTACGAATGAAACCCAGCATTATGAATTAATGTGAGTAGGAATTACATTTTGTGCCAGTTAGACCTTTCTGTTTGCACGTGAAAGTTTACTAACAGATCGTTCTTACAAAGGACTATGACTGTTGCCACGTACTAAAAATCGTATTATTATTAAAATTAGTTTGTATATACGTGAAAGCCTTTTTCATGAGTAGCAGTTATAATGCTCCTCCGGAGATACGTAACATTTCAGCATTATGTTGAGAGGACGGATCTCCAGCAGTGGGGTGCGTCCCTGCTCGGCTACATGAGCCGCTGGAGAGCGCAGAACAGCGCGACCGCGGGCCGTTTCCTCGCCTCACTGCTATACGGCGCCACCTGCTGTCCACTGAGCATTACTGTCAATCAAAGTGTGTAACGTGAAAACAGCTCTTGGCTGGCAGTCATCCACTCGTCTTCTCTTCGTTCACGTAGTTGCGGGGTTTCTGTAGCGGCAGCAGGCGGCCTCTAAGAAATGGGGGTAACTGGCACTTTTAAAGTGAACCTTTTGCAAGCCGCATTTTCGTTTATATTAATATTAACCCAAGCAGACAAATAAAATCCTTAGTTGGTATCTGGTACCGGTTTATTCATGAAAATGTCACTGGAAAAAAAATAAATAAATAAATATATATATATATAAATGAAATTTGTGAATTGTACAAAACAGCACAAATACTATTAGACTATTTTAGCACAAACTACTTATATATATATATATATATATATATACACACCTACACACACACATAGATATATATATATATATATGAATATGTGTGTGTGTGTGTGTGTGTGTCTGTGTATAGCTGTAAAGTAGAATGACAAAATCATGTTTTGCAATAACTAGTAATTAACAGGTCTCATGAGTGGTCTGCAGCAGTTTTGCACGTCCTTGCAGATAGACAATCATGTACGAATTTGCTGAACTTTTTTTTTTGGTTTGTAAATGTATGCTCAATGTTTTTTTTTTCTTTTAAAAAAATTATGTTCTGTTTTGTGAGATCGTGTCATCTGAGGTGCTAATGCACACTACAGTGCGTGTTGACCAAGAATATATTTTGCACAGTAAAAAAGGATATTGTAATAAATGTAACACTTTAAAATCTATAATACATTTTTTATCTTGCTTATAGAAATGTTAGTATCCTTGAAAAACACACCATGTTGCTTTTTTCTTCTTCCTGTGCCAACATTAAGAGCACATGCATGATGACAAGGCAAAGAAGGCAAATCCCTTGCTGCTAGTGTATACATGTTACCATTCTGACACTCTATCTTGGAAGAGCAACAAAAACGGCTTTCTGTTGGGCGACCATCCACATGTTTAATTACACTAAGGAATCTGTGCTATGTTGCACTGTTGCCGATTTAACTCCCAAGAAGCAGTTAATAAAAGAAATAAATTTTGCTAACTTCCTTGAGTTCAACTATTTTCCATTTGACTTGCAGATGTGGTTGGTTCAGTGGAATATTACAGTAGTTCAGTACTTTTTGCCTACCCCCTTTGCTCCATTGCTCTTATTAGGCAACAAATGTTTCCATCTTAATGGAACTGCTATTCACTGGAAGATATCCTGTGTAACTTCAAAAAATCACTGAAAATGCTGTAACAGTGCATTCCTGTACTTCAGTTCATGTCTGAGTTACCATAAATAAATTTGCATTAGGATGTGCTTTGTGTACCTCGTATAATTAATTTCCAGAAAATGGGATGAAAACGGGGCAGCTGAGGGTTGCAGTGTCTAGCTATGCAGATCAATGCATAGTATGTATATGCATATGTGTAGTATGTGTATGCATATGTGTAGTATGTATATGCATATGTGTAGTATGTGTATGCATATGTGTAGTATGTGTATGGATATGTATATTTCATAAACATAAACAAATAACCTTATATTTCTGGGTAAACAGTGAGTCTGGGTGCAGGGGGGTGTTCCTCAAAGCAAGATTTCTCAGTTAGCTGGGTTAACTTAAGCTAGAAGTCATGATTGTCGCATAAGGGTTTAGGTAAGGAGCATTCCTATTGGATAAGACTTCTAGCTTAAGTTAGCCCAGCTAACTGAGAAACAGTGTTTCTACAGCTGAGTCTGCTTTCATGTTGAATTGTACTGTTAGTCAGTAACCTGAATGGACATCGAGCTAGAGGCTGACGTATGAGGAAATGAGGAAATTCAGTTTGGGCTTTTATCTGGAGACATCAATCATTCACGGAATTGTGGCATCAATGTTTTAACTTTCCAAAAATAGAATGATGTTTTAATCAAGGTGCCGCTAAACACTGTGATTCATTTAAACTTCCGTCTGTAGGAAACACTGCCTCAAAAACCCACAGGAGGCCTCAAAAATCCTTTATTAACACACATCTGCAATTAACAATTCACAACCTTGTGCTTAATTTAGAAACCATTTCTGTGGGAAGCAGATGGTAAGAGAATAAGTACAAAAAGAATGAAACATGCACAATTAATCTTACTGAACAGCGGGATTTCAAGGTAATGAAAACGTGTGGAGAGATTATCAAAAGATAGCAGGTTAATGTTAAAGATGCTGGCCAATGGAGGCACCTACTGACGATACAGGACTCACACAGATTCCCAAACTCTGATGAGGCAGGATAAAGACCTAATCTGTCCCATAATGCACGTCACATAGGTCACAAACAAACCACAGCATTAGTTACAGCATTGATTAAAAAGAAAGAAAAACATCAATTATAAGACAGTATTACAAGGATTGTTTTATTGCTTGTGCAATGGCAAAACTTCCATCTTATAAAAGTGCCTTTGTTCAAGTCTAACCTAGATAAGACCCCCCCCCCCGACTCTCCTAAGGCGACCAGCTGATGTAAATAATTTGCGTTAGAAAGTCGGCCCTTTCACTTTACGCTAAGGCTAAACGTCACCGTTGGCATTTTCTCTTGAAGGGCGTCTGTCACGATTATCTGAAGTAAAAAAAAATCTTCATAAGGAAAAGAAGAAAAAACAGAATTCCACAGAAAATGATAAGCGTGGTTCATCTCAAAATCTGAGGAATCTGAGTAAATGTGAGGTTGCGGGGGGTGTTATGGCCTTTGGGACATTTCAAGTTTGAAATTTAGTTTAGTGAAATTGCTAATTATTGGTAATATGATTTCATGACTTTCATACAATAGAGGGCTTTGTTTTGTATACCAAACATCATGTCTTACAGATAACCAGTTGTTTTACCTAAATTTTAATGTTATTTTAACATCACTTATAAACATCCCGTGGGTTTGGAAAAAAAACAATGAATCTACCTCTGTATAAGTGATACTCCAGAAAAATTTAAAAAGGAATAATTACTGTCGCAAAATGCACAAAACAAATAACCAGAGTCCAAAACAATGAAGGAGTAGATTATAATACATCACGTACAGAAGAAGACCAGCAACAAAGCCCTTTGCCCCTCTGAGGGCTGGAACATGGAGCTATGCTTTTTATCTGAGCTTGGGAAACAATGAGTGCGATCATAAGAGTTTCTGTGTCTGAATGCAATAGTACAGCCTTTCCCCTGCCCCCCTCAATTAAAACTATATTCCCATGTGATACCTGCTAGAATTTGACACAAAATCTATCTGGAAGATATAAAATATAACGTTTTACTTTTTTCCCTTCAAACCATAGCATAACTAATAAGGGAATATGGGTGTTAAGCTGGTTACAGCTACAGATACAGCAGCTACAGATGAGCTCAGATGGGTCACTATCGTGGAAAACCCAGGCCGGCGTGTCTCGTCCACTCAGCACAAGAAGCAAAGACATAAGGAGAGACGTCGGCATCTTTAAACTAACCTGGGTTCGATTCCCTCTCTCGGCACATTAGTGTGTGTTTATTGTTCTAGACTGTTACACTTTCTGTTTTACAGGTGGCGTCCTGCGGCACCTCCCTCCGTCACTCCGCCATGCCGTACTCCTCGTCCTCCGTGATGGGGTCCGTGTCCCAGCAGGTGATGTCAATCTCTGTACAGACAGAGGCAGAGGCAGGAAGAGACACACAAAGTTTGTTTTGCTGGAAGGTAAAGAAGAGGTAGATATGGTCCCCTTAGCAAAGTCATTAAACCGTGGTGTCGTTTGTAAAACGCTTCTTGTAAAAGACGTATTTTGCTCTCAGGTAGGTAGCTCTATTGCCTCAGACCTCGATGGCTGAAGGCTTCCCCCCCTCCTCCGTCTGTGTGTAGATTTGTTATGTTCTCCCATTGTTTCCTGCTAAATAAAATGTATTTCGCCCATGATGTGTGGATGCCGGCCTTGCAGTGGACTTGGAAGCCCAGGACTTCTCCTTCCTGGTGTTCCAGGCTCCAGGACCATTGATTTCAAACTCCTTCTCCAGTCTTGCTTGAATCTGGTTTAATGGTTCTTGTGGAGCTACTTTATTCCTGATGCCACTGGGACTCACTGCATCACTACACTACACTACACTACACTGCAAACTATGTGCAAATCCTGTTAACAACTTTAAGTATAAGTAAGTATACATCAGAATCCAGTGTACACTTGAATGAATAGTCTTGTGCAGTTTTACAATTTTGCAGTATACAAATAGTTTTTATATTCTATCTTATTTACTGCACTACAAATTCCTTGTAAGGATGACCTATTGCTTTTAGTAATTGTTTATTGTATTTTTAATTTATTGTTCGTTGTGTTTAGCACTGCAAAGTATCGTAAATCGCTCTCGCTTGTTTCTTTCCGTACTGGCATCACCCCAACTTCCCGTCACGAGAGAAATAAAGGTTATCTTCCCTTTAGTCTTACCTGGTGGCTTATTATAAAAAAATGGTGCTGGGATCTCTTTCACAGAACACTCGTCCGCTTGGGCAAACTCCTCCTCCTGAGACTGACTGAAGTAGCCCTCACTCGCCTGGACACAGATAGGGAGCAAAAGAAAACATGTGAGTTCTTCGTAGGATCATTTAGGTGCCCAGTTCCTGCACTGCTGTCGTGAATTTATCCTACAAACAAGTAAACTATTTCTGCTTTACTCACTTCCCATGTTTTCCTCACATGAAACAAGTCCTTTCTCAGTAAGTAATAAATCCTGCATTTCTCTGGATGCCACCTACTGACTGAGTTGAAGTAGGACGCTCACCACAAGTATGTCTCACTTAATCAGTGGTGGACATTCATTTTAAGGTCTTTATCACAGACGTGTCTTTTCAGGCATGCTGAGAAGATGACAGATGAATGGGGCCTGCACACTGTGACATTAAAGGCTCCTTGTTACGGATTTGTTCCGCTGCCTGACCTGGGTGCCCTCTTTCAGCAGAGAATCTCCATTCGTCATGAGCAGTTGAGCATCGTCGAGGTCTTGGCTGTCACACCCGGAGGCCTGTTCCAAGGCGTGCCGATAGCTCAGCGTCATCTGGTGCTGGCCCTCGATATCCACCAGGCTCGAGGGCTCATCCTCGTCCCTCAGGTCGTCACAGAAGGTGACGGAGTCGGCGGCTACGTTGCTGAACCCCTCTGGAGCCTCCGGGAGGATGCAGAGTTCAGCAGACAGAGGCGAGGCAGCCACGGATGGCTGATCTGAGACCAGTCCCTCCGGCTCGTCCCACGAGTGGAGCAGGCAGCCAGTCTCCTGCTGAGGGGAACCGCAATCTGGGAAAATGTGCTCCTCAGGGTCTGATGACAATATCACGGTCACTCCAGCCATGTTGCCGTATGTCTGCACTGGGGGGGCTTTGGCCACCTCTGAGGTCAGTGAAACACCTGAGAAGTAGCAGTTTTACACAACATCACCATCTATGATTTATGAACATGAAAGCAATCACCTGCAACAACAGACTTACTTTTATGACCTTTTATGATGTTGTCCTACAGGCGAGCGATATGGCAAAAATATATCACATTTTTTGCAGACAGGATCACAGTCTTATCGCGATTCTTTTTCATGTTGGTTTTTAACACTATTTTGCAAGTTATTGGACAGTACAACCAAACTAATTCCCTTATTTAAAGAAAATTAGTCTGAATACTAGAACTCGTGGCCATAAGTGGAAATTAGCGGGAGAACATTTTAAAACAAATTTGAGAAAGCACTTCTTTACACAGCGTGTAGTTAGAGTATGGAATAGTCTTCCTGCTAGTGTAGCGGAAGCTAAAACCCTGGGTTCCTTTAAATCAGAGCTTGATAAGATTTTAACAACTCTGAGCTATTAGTTAAGTTCTCCCCAAACGAGCTTGATGGGCCGAATGGCCTCCTCTCGTTTGTAAATTTCTCATGTTCTTATGTTCTTATGTTCTAGTCCTATAAGGTAATAAACTCTAAAAGACAAACATGCGTAGCAAACTCCTTCCTGTCTTTCCTTTTGAGGTGTTGCCATCCGACTTGTGAACTTAATGTTTGCAAATTTTGTAAATAAGCAAATTTACATTTGTTTGCACCGCGCTGGTTTTGGAAAATCCAAACAAGTTCCACTGGAATTCTTTTTAGGGATCGACGCCTCCATGTTGTCCATACAGCTACGTTGCCAAGTAGGGAATGTGTTGCATGTTGGGAGGAGTGTGCAAAGGGGAGAGAGGAGGAAATCCAAGGCACTACCTACTATTTGCTATTACCGGTTTATTGGTGTGTCGCAAGGGATTTGGCTGGTGAAGCAACTTTAGATGTGTGTGGGAGCAATAGAACTGCAACCGGTAGAATGAGCATGGTAGCATGATGCTAATGACCTCGTTATCATTGAGACAGTTTAATCATTCACAATCTAATACAATCTAATATTGTCAAATTGCACACATATACATCGTATTATGATGTATTATTGCACTGCAGTTCACCCAAGTAACTACCATGAGCTGTTATACAGTTATTCCTGTAAAAGCACTAGAGGACCTCTATCTGGAATGACTAGATTCAAAGAGGAACTGAAATCAGAAAACATAGATATTGATGTTACTGTGTAACAGCCACAAAGGCGTCCATACCATACTCTTCCAGAGCCCCATCCTCATTCTCTTCCTCCTCTATGGGTGTGGTGACAATTTTTGGGATGGATGGACAGTGGATCATTGGTATGCTGTAATCTGAACTCTGGTAATCATCAGACTCTGGGGGAAAATGCCAAAAAAATAACAAGACTTAAAAGTCGAATCGGCGGAGTCATCAGTGTCAAAATTGGGGCATTCATCAAAGTACCTTTCTCTGGGCATCTGCATACCGACGGCATCTGTTGCCATAGTAACTGCTAGTCACATCTCACAAAATTAATGACATCCCCTTTTTCTCAAAGGACATCCTTATATCTACTGAAGTGAAACTTCTTTTGATGCATCAAAGCAACACTAACAATGAGGAACTATGTCATAAACAGACGTGACTGGGCTTGTTTCACTTATACTACAAATAAGAATTTTGCTATTGACCTGCTTGGTACAAAAAAAAAAAAACACAAGGTATCCTTCAAGGTCTTTTACAACATGGACATGCAAAAATCTATCAATTTGGAAATGAAGGTCACACGAATCAGTTTACAGCAAAGCTGATACATAAAAACAGGTAGAGTGATCCCCCGCTATATCGCGGTTCAGCTATCGCGCCCCCGTTATATCGTGGATTTTTCCCCGACGCGTATCAGTTTTCTGCGTACCGCGTACCTTGCTTGTGGTCCGATTGTTTTCGTTTTGTTTTAAGCCCTATGATGGCTCCCAAGCGCCCTGCATCTTCTAACCCTTCTGGTAGTAGCGAGCCTAAGCGCCCAGAAGAAGACCTTGACTATTCAGGAGAAGGTAACACTCATGGATATGCTTCGGGAAGGAAAGCGTTACACAGACGTCGCTCGCCATCATGTCTTGAATGAATCGACGGTACGATACATCAAGAAGGATGAAAAGAACATGAGCCACTGCATCACTTTCCTTTAGTCAAGCAGGAAAGAGGGTGGCAGCTCCTCAGAATAAAGCCATCATTAAAATGGAATCACATACATATACATTACATATTATAATAATAATAATTATTATTATGTTACTCATATCCTTAGCCCGACATCCACATATCATATGTGTTGTTTTAATAAGTTTACATGTGTTTAAAGCGTGTGGGAGGGGTATTTTAAGGCTTAAACTATAAAAAAATGTTTATTCATATAGTCTTTCTATATCGCGGATTTTCACCTATCGCTGATGGGTCTGGAACGCATCTTTCGCAATAGGCAGGGGACCACTGCAGTACAAAGTAAGCAGGTGCATTCAAATTAAACTGAAGCAGCTATTCATCCTTTGTCAGAGCAAAAACACTGTTTTTTCTGTCCAGCACAATAAAGTACCTCTGAGAGCTTTATACCAGTATGTGGGTTTAATTGCTTCTTCTTGCCAAAGAGCTAGTGGTGATTTAGGTTGTCAAATTCAAAATAGGAAGCACAGCTCAAAACTGACACAGATACCCATGAAAGAGAGTCTCCTGGCGGTGGAGCTTTGGACCATGCGACGACTGAAACAAGGGGATGAGCCGCGACTCTCTGGGGAGGACCACTGTAGGGGCCTGAAAGCCATCATCATACGGCTGCCTTCCAAATACTGAGCAGCACAGAGACTCTCGGCCACAGGCAACGTACCCATGGAGCTTAAGAGGAAGCTAGACGTGCTTAGCGGCAGAAGCTTTGAAATGTGGATCAGAAATACCACAGTAACAGAGCCAGCCGCAGGGAGTAGCTGTGATGGCTTCACGGGCACTTCCACAATACCTGGATGGTACGATAAGTTCGGGGAAGTCGGGATGGGCCTTTCAGTTTTTGGTGATGGCTACCGATGCAGATCTCATGAAACTAGTGATGGGCAAAACCACACTTCATGAATCATTTGCTGTATTTTTTGACCCCACTAGGTGGTGCTCTCTGCCCACAAAAGGGCTCAAAGCATGCCCCAAAGCAAACCGAGAGCGCCATCTAATGGGGTCAGGAAATACAGCAAACGGTTCATGAAGCATCATTCTCTTCATCACGACCTAAAAGCTTTCCGGATGTGGTGGTGAGCTTTGGAAGGCAGTAGCTGCACATGGGAGCCATGCTGTTTAGCCTTTGGCTGGACAGGGGCAGGCCAGTACCTACCAGACAGAGCTGGGTGCAGCCTGATGTGGGGGTGACTGTGAGACGCCACCGGGGGCAGACTGTGCTCAGGGAGACTATACTGCATCTTCAAAAATGGGCTGTCCAAGCGGCCTAGTGAATCAAAGACACCAGCCAACGCAGCAGACACACCGATGGCACGAGCGCAAGTATGAAAACACGCACAAGACATGAAGCAGGAAGAGAGAGACACGGAGAAGCCGGACAGGGCAACAGTCAGTGAAGAGACACGTAATATCGAACGGAAATAGCAAGAAATAAAAATACGAGTCCAGGATGATGCAACGGGTGCATTTTGGTGATTGAATAAACAATTTTAGGAACAGAAAAAATAACAAGCAGGCCAACAATTACGATGAAGGTGACCACAGACAGAGAATAACAGACAAGGAGAAAGAAGAGAAAGTGAGTGAAAGGGCCGGTATCCTCCTTTTCTCAGTCAGACTGTTCATTTGCGGCTTGTAAACTGCACACACACAAACTACAACGAAAGTAAATCACACACTAACCATACATTAACACTGAATTTGAGCCTGATTACAATGCATCACTTGCATTACTAACCATGTATTTTTGAAATATACAAGCAGTTTAATTCATTACCAAACATGGTTCAGAAGTTAACAGAGGCTGTTAAATACTTTCTAGTTCTCACTGACTATGCCGTCTGGATACACGCCCATATTTCCACATTTCTGCTCGTCAGACACTAGATGTCGCCACCTACAGTTTTGGGCTAGCTTTATTCGTGAACGATAAACTGTGTCTGCACAGGCAGACTGAAAGCACTTCCTTTTATGTTTATTGAATGCAAGTGAGGACAGTTTTTATTTGTGTTTTATGTATCACCCTATGACTATACAGCCTTGCTTCGCGGTTCTTGCACCTTTCCTGTGGATTGACATGGGGGAGCTGTCAAAGCTGCAGGCCAAAGCCTTCTCTCTCTGCTTGAAGAACTCCCGAGGATTCTCCGGTCGCTGTGCGATAATGGCCGCTGCCTCCTGTAACATACAAACAATTCTACTATAAACTAAAGCCTTCAAAAGCCTGAACAGCATTCACAAATGAAGATGACAGGTTACTTCTGCTAGGACATACACATCTTCTCGTTGTAGTATAACATTTGGATCTCCAGCGCCCCCTGGTGGGAAATGATTAAAAAAAGCATACCTCTACTTCTGATTCTCTTTTCTCCTGTGTTGCTTCATGGGTCTGTGTGAGAACATCCATATAATTCTGACATTAGTAATTCACCATTCACTCATCCACTTTCTCTAACCGCTTGTCCTATTCAGGATCACGGGGGGAGGGGTCCAGAGCCTATCCCGGGGGTTATGGGCGCAAGGCAGGGAACAACCCAGGATGGGGCGCCAACCCATCGCAGGGCACAATCACACACCATTCACTCACACATGCACACCTACGGGCAATTTGGTGACTCCAAATAGCCTCAGCATGTGGGGGCTGTGGGGGGAGAGCAGAGTAACCAGAGGAAACCCCACGATGTCACAGGGAGAACATGCAAGCTCCACACGCATGGAGCCATGGCGGAGGGAAAGAGAAGCAGGAGGAAGACAACAGGATGGACATACACTTTACTGCGGTGACAGAATCAGCTTGGTTGCCTCATAAGTTTGTGAAAATCTCACATTAGTTTATTTATCTGGCTGAGTTGGTAGGACTGTGGTCACACACATCCAAAGTTGTGTTTTCAGCTCCCTGTGTGTCTAAGGAGTTTGTATGTACTTATCACAACGCAACCCCGTAAAGCACTTTGGGACAATTTTGCTGTGAAAGGCGCTATATAAAAAATAAATGTATTGTATATATTTGACTTAATTTTTTTGCTTGTAAAATTTTTCGTAGGATTTTGAGAAGTCAGACTTACGTGCTACCACAGGCAATTAAGCAGTAAGGTTCCTGCTATTCAGGAAATCAGCCAGTCCTCAGTGTCATTCAAGTGACCTTTACAGTCCTTTGACATGGTGCTGGTGTGACTTCATGAAAATACGCTTGTTGCAAGCAAGAGCGCTGAGCAGTCAGGATGACCAATCGACAGTCCAGTAAGGAGGTGATCATTGTCATGTGGTTCTTAAAGTCATTGCCTGTGATCAAGCAGTGTCCCTTCTTTTAGTGTCTGTATAAAGCTCTGCTACACATGCAGAACATTAAAAAAAAATTAAGAAATAAACTACTTCTGTAAAGATCTTAAGTCGTGTAACTTTACCAGGTTCAAGAACTCGAGGCCAATTACGCGGATGCTAATAAATGTGAACTGGTCCCCCTCACCACAAAACTGCCCCCAGAGAGTGACTGTATGCATCCTGTGATGAAGCAGCATCCTGTCTGTGCTGTACACAGTGTGTTCCGGGAAGTTATTGTTCTTGATCTACGGTAAAATGCCACAAATCTTCGATGAGCTCTCATTGAGGCTCTGAAGTCCTCTTAAATCCACAACGTCCTCAAAACTCTTCAAAGGAAAATCCCAGCAAAATCCACAATGCCCATGTAAGACAGAAAGCTTTGCTTACAACGACGACCCGTGTCCTGTCCACGGCGGGCTGGTCCACCTCCTGGCTCTGCAGCTTCCTCCTGTAAGCACACAGGAGTGACACGGCATCCAGCTAACGTCAGGCGGCCATGACCCCCCATGTCGGTGCTCCCACCAGCCTACCGGAGCTCCTCGATCTGCCGTTCCCTCTCCCGGTACCGCTTCTCCCGTTCCTCCTGCTCTCTGCGCTCCGACTCCATCCGCTCCTCCTCGAACCTCCTCCGTTCGGCCGCAGCCTTCCTCCGCTCCTCCTCTTTGCGTAACTCCTCTTCACGCTGCGATGGACAAAGAGTGCAGCCAGAGACATGTTATCAAGGCCAAACACAGTCCTGTGTCACTGCCTGAATGGAGGATAATATCAAACATTAAGTCCAGTATATTGTTTGGGAAACTGAGCTTGCTGCAATTTGTGCTCACTGGCCATGAAAAACTTCAGAATGCAGAGCAGCACAGTAAGATCTGATCCTGTTTATCCATTATTTCACACTGCATTCTTGGCACTTTATGCGCCCTTAACTGCTCCCACCGACTACACTAATGCTCATTTGGCTGATAAGAATGACCCAGGGAACTAGTTTGCATGAACTGGCAATGACACAACTGGCCTGGAGGCCGTAAAGTACCGAAAAGTTAAGACGTGAGTTTGCACCATAGTGCAGTGTGCAAAGTGGTGCAAAGTGACCACACGACTGGCCTCTGTACAGAGCGCAGACCATCTCGTCCAGAAGATCCTGGATAAAAAGGCCTACCTGGGCCTGTTCCCAGAATTCCTCTCTGCTGATTTTTTTAATTTCGATCTCAGCATTTGTCTTCTGGTAGGATGTGCCCTGGGGAAGAAGAGGTGTGATTATCCTGGAGGTCGTGAGGCCAGTTTGTTCATTTAGGCCAGTAGGGAGAGGCAATCGCAGCAGAGTCCAGAGATCCCATATCTGCTGCATATAAAACCATTAAAAACACAAAGACACCATAATGAAAATGGTGAAAGAAAAGGTTAAATCTTAAAAGTACGACAGTGTCCTGCTGGATGGTGTTATGACAGGTAGGTTACTTTAATATCTGGTTTGTTGGAGCGAATGTGTCCTCCTTTGTAATTACCACTGCAGGCAGATAGAAATGGGAAATGGATGTGTCACTGTCATTTACAGACAGGGACAACAGTCAGTTTGAGGAGCTGCAGTGATTCAGCCAGTGATACACCTGAGACTGCCCAAAAACGACACAGTGAGAAAGCCCTGAATAACGCAAAACTGCTACACAAAAATAGCTAAAGGCAGCTGCAATCCAGGTTTGCCAACATTTTTCAACTAGATATTAGCATGTTTTTTTGAGACCACCAGGTGTACTCGACACACAGCTTGGCTTAGTTTTACTCCGCATGCAAGTTTAGCATTTTAGATGGAGGTCCTGCCGGCATATCCTTTGGAAATACAGGTGGGTGAACGGCTTGTGTACAATTTGAGAAGGTGAGAATCCTGATCTGCATTATGAAGACACTAACTGCATAAATAAGTAACAGCATAACGGCAATTTGTGTATATTGCTTAGCAAACGAGCTCCTGAAGATGTGAATATGTATGCTATATGGCCAAAAGGGTGGACAACCTTCATATTAAAAAAACATGATTTCAGAATGAGATGCTGGACAAACTGCTGTCCACATACTTATGGACATATAATGTAAATATCAATGCACAATTCACGTTTATGAGATTATTAATTCATAGATTAACAATGGTTGTCTAAATATAATGTTCCTTCCGATGGCTACAATGTCTTTATTGCATAACCATCTTTCTTTTTCAGACATTAATCATCCCTCCCTCTTCTGTTACCCCTGTTATTTCCCTAAATGCATCAGCAGGGCTGAAAATGTGCATAAAATATATGCAGGAACTAAATTATTACCTCAGTGAATCATTTGGTAAAATATGATGTGACATAAAATGAGATGCCCCCCCCCCCATCCTATGGGCAAAAGGAAAAAAGTACAACAACAGCATAAATTAACTTAATTCCGATATCAGCCTAGAGAATTAGCCAAACAGAATTGACATAATTTAGTTTTACGAATTATTAAATGTAATGCACATACCTTTCTGTCCCTTAACAGAATACTTCGTTTAGCATCACAGAAATTTATATGTGCACTAAAGTGACGGGATTAGCGACATCCAGCCAGAAAAGTCATTTCTTTTAGTGCATATTTTTCACCTTATCACACCTCACCACACACTGGTCGTGTCACCTATGACACATCCAATAATTCCACATAAATAAATTTTATTCAAAACATAATAAAATGCTTTAAAGCACAAATCTTAATATATTGGGTAATACTTTACCTGTTTTCAGTTATCAATACAGTACATGTATATACACAATGCAAAACAGTGCAATAATTAATGCAAAAAAAGAGAGATTCTCATTCATATGAACCAAATGCCTAACCTGACTGAAACTTTACAGCCCTCAAAGCCCCTTACCACAGTGTCAGTCCTGTCCTCGTCCCCCATTCGCAGGTGACTGAGCACTGGACCGGTCGCTGGAGTCACCCCATTGGTTAACCTCTGTTCAATAGCTGACGGGTCAATGTCCTCCAGGCTGCTGGCATTAACGACGATATCGACTCCCTGTGGACCAAAGGCAGACATGGGAAATTCGCTCCCCCAAACTGACCAATCAGAATGATCACTAAAATAATCACCTTACAAAGCAGAAGCTGCGCTGGCTTTCATCTCCCGATGCTAGGTGGCATTTCTGATACTAACAGCTACTAACCACAAAACACCACCATACATCAAACAGAAACCTCATATTAATTCATACTGTCAAATATTAGACTTCTGGGATCATGGCTTCCATCCATCCATTATCCTCCTGGGCCACGGGGGGTCTGGAGCCTATCCCGGAAGCAATGGACACGAGGCAGGGAACAACCCTGGATGAGGGGCCAGCCCATCGCAGGACACACTTACACAAGCACACCTAAGGGCAATTTAGCAAGACCAATTAGCTTCAGCATGTCTTTGGACTGTGGGGGGAAACCGGAGCACCCGGAGGAACCCCCACGACGACATGGGGAAAACATGCAGAATCCACACACATGTGACCCAGGCGGAGACGCGAACCCAGGTCCCAGAGGTGCGAGGCAGCAGTGCTAAACACTGCACCACCTGGATCATGGCTTATTCTTAAAAAATGATATAGATCTGATACTGGGGAAAATGCTAAGCGGCTAACCCTAAAATACACTGCAAGCAGGGGCTTTCACGTTGTGTTTACAGTGAGGTTCAAGAATGCTGACCAACCCTAGCTGCGGGTTATTTTGTCTACTAGGAAAGAGGACTTAGTCACTCTGAGACAGATCAGCAACAGCTACAGGGTGATACTGGCATGGAAATCGCAGGTGAAGAGGACAAAAGCAGGCTGTGATGCTGGTGTGTTGGTGCAAGACGCAAGGGCAAGACGGAAAACAACTGGCGTCAATCTTTATGCTAAACGCTGTAGTAAGACAGTGATAGAGTGATACAGCCGTGCTCTGTCCCACAGGTGGCCAGCCAAGGATTCGCTGACCTGGAAGAAGTCGGCTATCGTGGCCACATGACTGGCGCAGGCACACTTTCTGGCATCAGGAACGTCGTCTCCGACCTGGAAGAAAAAAGCCTTCGAGCCTCAAGGTTTTTTCGTCATAGACACAATCATACCCTGTACTACTGTGAGGTGAAATGCTTTTCCACCTGCTTCCTGCAACGTGCTTGACGAAATACGCAATACAAACAAAGCAAAACAGTATGAATAGATTCAAATATTACGAATAAAATAAAAATTAAATAAGAATATAAAAACAATGACAAGTATAAAATGACCGCAAAATTGACAATAAAATACAAAGCAGTACATCAAAAACTGAAAAAATGTATATAATAATACATGAATATGTGAATAATCCATTCTTATCTTGGTACAAAAGTAGAAAGTGGTGCTGCACTTAGTACAAGTTAGAGATTAGTACAAGATTAGTATAGATCATTTTTACCTGGTTATTTAGCCTAAAAACTGTATTCAGAATACAGGTGTTTGTGACTATACTAAAACTGGCCAGTAGGGGGTGCTCATTCGCGGAGACCCATCAATTCCAAACCCTTGACTGAATCAGGGCCCTACAATACAACAGCTATACAAAAGTCTTTCTGAGATGACGCACCCTTGTAGCTGCATTCTTGTAAAGGTTGGAGTTGCGGTTCTAGGGTCTTGGCCAAAATTACAATATTTATTTCCTAACTTCCTCACCATTTATGCATCCCCACATTTAGCAAAAAAACAAACAAAAAACTTGTCTTTCAGCTGGTTAATGTGGGATTATCTGCTACGTCACTTAGGTGGGTGTCGAAGGGAGGAGGTGGATGGGGCTGGTTATCGCTGTAAAGCCTATTTTTTCATTGCTCTAAAAGACACCATCCATTTCAATCCATACTGTGTATGGGGGTGGTGTGTAGCTCTGCAGGTTAGGAAGGGATTCTTTGCTCATGATCGGAAGGTTGCTGGTTCAAATCCCATAGCTGGCAGAGTGATGTCACCATTAGAGGGCGGTGTGCAGCCCTATGGGTGAGCACAGAACTCTTTGCTCATGATTGGAAGGTAATAATAATAAATGGAAATCATTTACTAGATAAAGAAAATCTATCTCTCTATAAGCAGCTGTGTCTTAGAAAGGATTAAACCCCTGGTGATGAGCAGAGCCAACCCCTGAATATTCACTGCTTCCCCCTAAAGCAGTTGTAGGTAAACAGAATGCCAGCCTGCCTAGATATGGCAAACAGCTCTGTGCTGCAGCAAATGTCACTGCAATCGCAGTGAGAGTGGTGCAGGTGAAGCACGGAGCTTCTGGGTGGCACTCTGCTCATTGCCCGGGCAGGCCGTGGGGGGAGGGCGTCCGGCCGGCATGCTCCGCTCACCCAGTTGATCAGGATGTACCGGGGGATGGCCAGTACAGACTCCTTTATGCTGCAGAAGCCATACATCACGCTCATGTTGTCGAAGGTGTCGCTGATCTCAAGTAACCCCCCATCTGTAAAGCACAGGGGAAAATACAGGCAACTCTGGAGAGGAACGGCCAAATGCACTGCAATGCAGTGCACGAGTGCCACAATCAATACTGCGGTACACTGGGAATCTTTTCCTGTGACAGGCACCATTTTAGTGATCTCATTCCTTACGTTACAAAGAAATGCCTACCATAATGTTGTAAGCCATTTATCCCAGTGATTTCCAGTTACGCAGGCCAAGAAAAAAGGTTTTGTAAAAACAAAACTCACCGCCCAAAGTTTCGAGCTTGAGATCATTGCTGTTATCTTCATATGTGTACAATGCCCTGGGGAAACAGAGAAATCTTATGAGGAGAAACTCACTGACGGGAATCTGTACCTGAGTACAATGAACGGGACCTTATCACAGTATGTGAATACAGGTATCAGCACGGCTTGGCTGAGTGCTTGTGATGACTGTCAAAGGCAACTGATCCCACTAATATTATCTGACAGCATGAGCTCATCAGTTCTTCAAAAAAAAAGGAAATGTCTTCAGTTCTGCATCTAATAAGGTTTACAATTCAGTTACACGTCTCAGAATGAACACAGCAATGGAACTGACTGCTCTGATTACTGGGAGTATATCAGCACTGATAATTATCCTTCTGCTCAAGCAGTGTGTAACTAATCTATTGGCCTACAATCAGATTCAATAAATTGCATTTATTAGGAGAAATATGAACCAACAGAGAAGGTATTCATCTCACAATTCAGAAAAAGGCAGAGTCTGTGGCTATATTCTGACCTAAATAAGGGTTTGAGATTACAGGCAAAAGAACAATACTGCAAACAGAGCTATAGACACCTGTCAACATCATCCTCGCAAACACATTTACAATCCATTGGCCTTTGGCCTGAAACATATAAAACCTGTGATACAATTTTTAGCAAAAGTGTGTCACCCGGACGGTAAAAGGTGCCTTTGCCTTCTGTCTGACTGTGAAAAATGTGGAATGTGGCTGCTGTTCTCCTCTCTCTTTTTCCTGCCTGCAGGGCCCTTTGGCTTTTTATAAGTGGTGAGGCTGGAGATGTGAGTCAGAACAAAGGGATCCCTTGTGACCATTCCTTTCACTGAAACCCTTATTTACTTTTAAGCCTTTCACTCACGAACACGAGATTTTCTATCCACAAGGTGTTCCCTGGAAAATGACAGGAACTATTTTTCTTCATTTACACAATCACTAGGACAAAAGATCACGTCTCCTTCATCAGTAACCTGCCCAGGAACCACTCACAAAAAACCTGTGATTTTCCAATAGAGAAACAAACGTGCATCTCTCATTCATTCCCACGTACTTCCTGGATGTTCCCCTAACCTGTGGCTCTACCCCACCCCCCCCACTTTCTCGCCCTTTAGCCATCTGCTCCCCAAGCTCCTGACTCCTGACTGATGTTCAGCATTAGCCTTCATGCTGCCGCTTATGCCTAAAACTCATAACCGAGTCCCTGCATGTCACTAAGCTCTCTTTGCTCCAGTAATTATAATATCCACCCTGGTGTTTTCATCTTCTAATTAAGGTTTAAAAATAGCACAGTCCATATTAATGATAAATCCTTTATTTACCATTTGCACAAGTGCACCGGAACGCTTCCCTGGGCCACCCCCTCTAGCTCTCCATAGCATGGGGGTCACGGCAAACATGCAGCACCTCTGGAGGTGGGGGTTCGGGGCCTTGTTTATGGGCGCACGGCTGTGTGACTGCTCTGCCTAGGCTGGGGTTTGAACCAACAACCTTCTGATGATAGGCACAGAGACTGAGCCACACATGATGAGGGGGGAGCATGAACGCAGTTCCTCACTGTGAGAAGTTATGCAGTGGAGATTCCCGCATGTGGGGAATTTGGGGGGGGGGGGTCAGCAAAGCCCCAGAGTGCCACCCTGGGTGACCCCCCCCTTCCTGATCACGGTGTCTCCCCTGCCAGGGAAGTATTCTTTTTAAGTGGGGAATCATCGAACACAAAACTAATACAAAACTGGAAGGCAAGCAAGATGACGGAAATGGACTCAACCAGAATCATGCATGTCATGGCCACTCGCTGACGGTGGGAGTCATTTATAGTGCATCACAGTGTTGATGATGATGATGATGATGATGATGATGATGATGATGATTCTTACACAATGCACAAATGATCAGAAGGTCAGACTCGTGAGCAGTTGACGGTTCAGTCTTCTTTTGCCATGTGATTTTGTGGGCTTCGCCCATGCAGGGAATAAACTACAATATACAGGAGGCAGACCAAGAGCCACACAACTTCTCTAAACCTCACTCCGGCATTTTCACTCATCATTCAGCAAATGATAGAACTGTTTTGATATGGCTGCCAGCAACCAGCTTTGCCAAGCAAGTTACAGGCAGAATAAAGACACACAAGTTTTAGAAGACAAAAAAAAAACACCTACTTCTCTACCTCTTATGGACGTGATTTACGCGTTTGTACCAAAAAGCAACAACAAAAAACTGTCAAATGACAGTATTATGTCACACGATCCAACATTTGGACTGAGGACTAGATCAGAAAGCTGTAGAAGTGACCTGAGCAGAGACGGACAGACGGCAGAATCTGACCAGTACCTTCACACTTTACCCCAAGCCCACATTCATCACTTTATATATGATGATGGAAGGAGAGGGAGATGTAGGGTTAACCAAGATGTGGCATGTGTGATATTTATAGTATGCATGAAGCAGAACCAGAAAACAGACTAAGCAGAGTGAGCTAGCACAGCAGAATGGCGTCCTGGATGTTGTGAAGGAAGCAAACTCTGTCCCCCTGTGACCTTGGCTGCCCGCTTCGTCTGATGTTAGCCTCCTTTCCTTCTCTTCGACCTTAAAGCCCCCCCCCCCCCAAAGCCTGTGTTGGGAAACCCTTCAGAATACAAGCTGTTACAATTCTGGACCCCGATGCACATTCATTTGCGATGCGCACATCACGTACTCGTACTGAACCATTTTTACATAACTGAAACCAAGTCGAAGCAAACTATTACCTTCCAACCATTTATGCTAATCAGTGGCACAGGACCCAGGAGATTCATGCACATACACACACACACACACACACACACATATACACGCACACACATGCACACACACACACATACACACACGCACACATATACATGCACACACATCTACACACTCACACACACACACATGCACACACATACACGTACACACATACACACACATGCGCACACATACACACATACATACACACGCACATACACACATACATACACACACATACACGCATGCACATGCACACACACACACACACGAGCACACACACACACACATACACACACACACACGCACACATACACACACACACACACATATACACGCACACATGCACATAAACACACACATACACACACATGCACGCACATACACACATGCAGACACACACACTTACACACACACACACCCAAAGATCTGTATTCATATCTTTGTGGGGACCATCCATTCAGTTCTATGGGCAATACTCTAATCCCAACATGACGACCTTAACCCCTACCCAGCCCTAACCCTAACCATAAGTAACCAAACAAAATACAAGACTTTTGGCATTTTTAATTTTTGATTGCAGTCACAGACTTTAAGAAAATTGAGTTTCCCCTTGTGGGGGCTGGAAACATGGTTCCCACAATGTCAAAAATAACAGGTTTTATCACATTATGGGGACATTTGGTCCCCACCATGTAATATATACATAACACATAGAGTGGGAGGAAGCCAGAGGAAACCCACCGAACACAGGAAGAACATGCAGACAGACAGAGAAGCCAGGACTCAAACTGGCAGCCCTGGAGGTGGGAGGCATCAGTGCGTCTCACTGACTCAGTCCGTACTATTACCATGAAAGATGATTCACTGAACAACATGGGGTCAACTGCCTCTTACCTGGCTCTCAGTCAAGTGATCTTCACAGGTATCCACATAAAGGAAAATGTATCTCATAGCTGGAATATAGAAAGTCTTACTTAAAGAACCGCTGGCAGCCAGTGAGATTAAAGCAGGAAAGGTTAGCAGAAGGTTAAGACAATGGAAGACTGAGCAGCAACACCATACTCCTATCGCCCTTGGTTGCTACTTCCCCTGTTGCCTGGAATCAGATGGGACACGTGAACTGGAGCTAAGTAATTAAGACTAAGTCCCTGTGGATGTTAATGTGCTACTATCCTGCAGTGCTGCACAGCCATTATGCAGTCCGTTGTTGTTAAAGACCAGAGCCCTGGTGCATCATGGGACTGTTTTAGGCGTCTGTTTATCACTGCCTTACAGAGGGAAATAACCAGTCAGCAATCTGGCTAAAGCTGCTAAAAAAGTAAGCAAAAAATCCCATTATTCATCTATAAGAGACTCCAGTCTTGATTTTAAGTGAATGTAATGCAAGTGAGGAGCTGCGAAGCATTTTCCTGGGCCAGACCGACCGCTTTGGAGAATTATTCAGGGAGAAATCATCTCCATCGCTGACATCACCAAGTCCCTCCTCATGAAAGAGGTCACTATCAGGAAGTGCTGCTTATCAGTTATGTAAGGCCCTGATTATTAAATTATTATTTCAGAGAGATGATTTACACTGGATCTCTCAATGGTTTTTATTAACGGGATTTCGGCAGTGAGTCTTTCTGTGTAGTGCTGTTGGAAAGTGAGGAGACTGTGGCCGGTTTCTTCCAGTCTACAGCTGTAAAAACACAGAAATCACGCTACAAAACGTACCAGCTCCGAAACAACCTTCTGGTAAAAATCTTTTTATGATAAGGGATATCTTAATAGCAGTAGAACCATTATCTTTCTTTATATACAGTGGCCATTTTCTTTGGCAAGGTTAATGGTTAGTATGGACAAAAATAAGCAAAATAATAAAAAAAGAAAAAAAAAACACGAATAAAACTGCCCACACCAGCGGATGCCATGTTCCTCTCTTCCACACTCTTTCTGTTCCTCGTTCACTCTCAGTGCTCCTGGCACTAATTACTGACAGCCTTTGTTGAAGCAGGTTGCACAATCCAAGATACCCTATAGACCAGCGCATCAGGCAGCTCTGCATCGCAAAACAGATCACGAGGACGCCCTCCCACACACATATAAATGCAGCAGCTGCACATCCATCACCTAACGGCTTCGTCTGGGGCCTCGCAGGTGAGCCACAGAACAGCTATGTCTGACTTCGCTACCAGAGATGGGTAAATAACATTCACTGCGAAAATAGGATTCTAGGACATGTTTGCCTAGAGAACAGCCATTTGCTTAATAATGTAGGTTACAGACAGACTCAGTGCGAGCTGAAGGTAGGCAAGACGCTGGGATAAGCTGACCAGTTATGTCTCCGGGGTGACCGATCACCTGCCGTGGGCCAGAAAGGTAATGAAATCCAGTAGCAACCGTGTTCTCATTAGCGTTTGAATGAGGTTAGTGGATAAGTCTACAGACAGGAGGCCCAAGCACTGTAATGAGCTGCATTTCAAGCATTATTTGTTTTTTCTTGTAATGAAGTTTTTCTGTTTGTTTGAACCATTTTTCTTAACACTTCTGTTCTGCCCTCATGGCAGAACTCTACCCCGCCGCTGTGAACGGATCAGTGTCACGAGCTCCAGATTGTGTGAAATTAGTTTGGAACTGTCAAGTATTTGACGTCCCAGAGGAGCAGTTCAAAACCAAGTGCTGACAGCGCTTGGCAAAGGCGAGGCGCCGAGCGGCGAGGCAGACCACTGGCATTCCGGACAAACGCGACGCCGTCCAGCCATCGTCCACTGATCTTCACGGAAAGGGAGCGAAAGGGGAAGATGCAGATACAGGAGAGAGTAAACACGCCTTCCCTGCCCTGTTGGGTTATGGACGGTGAGATCACAATAAAAGAACTGGGTGGTAAAATGAGCAAAAGGCTGTTTGAATGGTGCGGAATGAATGTGCGCATTAACACTGCATTTACATGGTCTGCGTGTGTGACAAGAAGGGACAGGGAGATTTTTATAGTACATCAATAACTACCACCATGTTTTCACTGTGCTATATCTGTCAGGTGGGAGGAGTGAAAAAAAAAAACCTTCATAGCTTAGGTCCCACCATTATTACCAAAGAAAGACAATTTCATCTTCATTACTACAATAAATCATTATATTCTTGATGTCACGGGCATCAAGGTTTGAGATAGCTGCAGCAAGTTTAATTGTATGAAATGTACAAAATTTCAGAATTTTTGCTTTGGATGTTTTCCTGCACAAACAATGCATGAAAAATAAGGACAAATCATTTTATTATTTTTTCTCTCTTTTCTTTACACTTTGCAAATCAGCCGCCGGTTTCTTTTAATAGGATTCTTATGTAAGTGTTACCATTTTGACTCCAGGCACGACTCCAATAGGAAAAAAAACATGTGTTAGTTTTGCAGCCTAAGAAAAAAAAAAGGGATGTTATGAGATCATCATTACATCGGGTCCTGCATCTTCCTAAGAGAGACAGAAGCAGAAGCGCCATCCTCATTGATTCCCTGTAACAGGGGGCACCTACAATGTAAGACCCCCCCCCCCTAATGAAGTAGGAGCACGTGGTGCTTCAGGGCCTCTCGCTGAGGGAGGACTGAGACCTGCAGCACATCTCCAGGGGTCTCAGCATCAGCCCAGCAGGTTTCCTCACCAGCCGTGCCTGTTTCTCCGTCGCAGAGACCAGCGTTATGACACGAGGCTCAAAATAAACTCCTGGGTGCGAGGCTGTACAAATTTGGCAACTCCTCCATTCACACCACCTCACTTAACACAACCCACTCTGCACTAAGCAGGCCGATTTCTCTTGGCACAAGAATGGAAAATGTCAGGAGATTCTGAATTTGGGCTTGAGACTCAAAACCACTAACAAAGAAAAAACCAGGAAAACTACCTGTCAGCTTATCACTCTGACATGTATGTTTACTTACATTATACACA